CCATAAGGTTTTCTTGCAACCCATAAGAGCTGCACTTGCAGCAGCGGCTGCTGCTACGCGCGCTTGAGCTGCAGCTGCTGCAGCTGCAGCTGCTACAGCTGTGTGGTCTTGGGGCTGCTGCGCAGAGAAGGCTTTTGCTGCTGCTCTGATGCAGAAATGAGAAGAAATTAATTAAACAAAAATTCCTCTTTGCAGCTTCCATTCTTGTTCCTCGTCCACAGCCACCGCCGCCGCAGCAGCAGCAGCAGTTTCGGCTGCAGTAGCAGCAGCAGCAGCAGCCAGCTGGAGTGTCCTGGATTCAGCTAGTCACTTGCTGCTCCTGCTGCTCCTGCTGCGTCTGCTGCTCCCCAACTCAAGCCGTGGGAGTTGAGCCAGCAGCAGCTAGCAGCAGCAGCTAGCAGCTGTAGCGCCCAATTGCTGCAACGGCTCAAGGTGGCGTGTTCAGCAGAAGGCTCCTAGGGAAACATCAGCAGCAACAGCAGCAACAGCAGCAGCAGCAGCAGCGGCAACAACGGAAGCCAAGCAAGCAGCCCACGGCGCCCCTACGCGGGGCAATGCTTCGGTTTTGCTGCTGCTGCAGAATCTCCCGCCCCGTGCACAGCCTGCAGCAGCAGCAGCAGCGGCGGCAGGAACTGTTCTAAGCAGCTCAGCTTGCAGCAGAGCAGCTACACGGAGGGCTCTAGCGCTGCTGCTGCTGCTGCTGCGCTATCCTTTACTCGCAGCTGCTAAATGCATGCAGTTCAATTTAGCTGCAGCAAATCAGAAGGTTTTGCTGTTGTCCAGATTCTCCTCTTAGGCTGGAGAGCTGCGCATCCACACAGGAGATAAATTGCTGCTGCGCCTGAGGAGGGTGGGGCCTCGAGCTGCTGCTGCTGCTGCTGCTGCTGCTGCAGCTGCTGCAGTGGTCTTTCCCCGGAGCTAGCGTGCCTCTGGCTACAGCAGTTTGGTTCTCTCCGCGTCTCAGCTGCTGCTGCGGACTCCATCGCCTTGCTGCTGCTGCCACTTCTGGCGCTCCCCTCGCCCCGCCGCCGCCGCTGCTGCTGCTGCTGCTGCTGCTGCCAGCCGCAACTATGGCGTCTTTCTCGGCGGGCTACGCTGCGTTGAGTCTGAGCGCTTTGCTGCTGCTATTTTTTGGTCTGTCTTCGCTGCCGGCGTTTTCGCCGACGTGGTGGCTGCCTGCTGCTACGGGGGGCCGCGCAGCAGCAGCGGCAGCAGCAGCAGCAGCAGCAGAGGAGCCCGGGCGCGTGTCCCTGGCCTACAGCAAAACTTGGCCCGAAAGAAACCCCACAGAAACTTATGACTTTTACTCTCGAGTTTCTTTATGCCGTTCTTTTCCCTTGACTTATTTTTCTTTGTCTTTGGGAGAAGCTTTGCGGGGGCAGCGCTTAGTTGCTGCTCCTTATCTTCTCAAAATCCCCAGCTGCAGCGAATTCGCTGCTGCTGCTGCTGCTGCTGCTGCAACTGCTGCAGCGGCGGCTCCTGCTGCGCCGCCCCCTTCCGCTGCGCTGGGGACGCCGGAAACCGGCACGGACGCCCGCAGCAACGACAGCAGCAGCTACAGCAGCAGCAGCAGCAACAGCAGCAGCAGCAGCAGCAACGGGGAGCCGCCGTCGACTTCTGCGCTGCAAAATGGGGAGCCGCCTGGGGCTATTTCCCCGCAGCAGCAGCAGCAGGAGCAGCAGCAGGAGCCTGACAGAGCAGCAGCAGAAGCAGCAGCAGCAGCAGCAGCAGCAATTCGACAGGGCCCGTTTGAACTATGCCGCATGCAGCTAACAGAAGCAGCACTTGAAGACTTGAGAGTTTTAATTGATAATAACTTTTTGGTGGAAATGTATGCAGATGGAATTCCCCTGTTTTACCCCGTGGGCCTCAGAGGCTACGAGACTGTGCAGCCGCAGCAGCAGCAGCAGCAGCAGCCGCAGCAGCAGCCGCAGCAGCAGCAGCAGCAGCAGCAGCAGCAGCCGCTGCAACAGCAGCAGGAGGTGGACTCGTTGTCGCTACCGCAGCTGCGCGTGACTCACAAACTTACAACAAATCTGCACTTCATTTTTGCTGTTAATGAAGGTGCTGTTGTTGCTGCTGCTGCTGCTCCGGGCTTTTCCCCAGATGGCTCTGTCCCGCCTTACACAGACATCACTGACTCCCTCGTGCGCCCCACAAACCCTAAACCCTAAACCCTAAACCCTAAACCCTACACCCTAAATCCTAACCCCTAGAGCCTAGGCGGCCGGCGCCTGGGACGCGCAGCTGCCCTTGGGGCGGCAAAGACGCCAAGTGAAAACCAGTCCCGCTGCTGCTGCTGCTGCTGCTGCGCTTGTTGCTTCCCTTGCAGCTGCTGCCGCACCCGCTGCCGCTGCTGCTGCTGCTGCTACTACTGCTGCTGCTGCCGCTGCTACTGCTGCTACTGCTGCTGCTGCTGCTGCTCCTGCTGCTGCTACTGCTACTACTACTACTGCTGCCGCTGCTACTACTGCTGCTGCAACTGCTGCTACTCCTGCTGCTACTGCTGCTGCTGCAGGAGACAGGGACTCGCGAGCTGGTGTTTACGTACAGCGCAGAATGGCACAACCGGCCTGACATTCCGACTCACCTTCGGCTGTACGGACAGCTGGCTTCTCCGTTCTTTTCGGGTGCAGCAGCAGCAGCAGCAGCTGCTGCTGCTGCTGCTGCAGCAGGACGCCGCAGAAATGAAGTCGATGTCCACTGGCTAGCCCTCGCCAACTCTTTTCTTTTTGTTGTTGTTGCTTTGTGTCTCCTCATGTTTATTCTCATTCGCATGCTGCGAGCGGATTTCGCCAGGTACACTTTTGCTGCTGCTGCTGCTGCTGCTTCTGCCGCTGCAGTTGCTGTTGCAGTTGCTGCGGTCTGCAGCGCTGCTGCCGCACTGCACCGCTGCTGCACTGCTGCTGTTTTGCTGCTGCAAGCGACTTCCGGGTGCTGCAATAGTGGCTGCTGGAACAGCTGCTGCATCACTTGCTGCTGCTGCTGCTGCTGCTGCAGGATGCTGCTGCCGCAAGACGAGGAAATGGCGAGTATTGCTGCAGATGAGACAGGTGGGGCTTTTTCTTTTGCTGCTGCACAAGGCCTTTTGTCTGTTTTAGATATTTTTTAAAATGCTGCTTCCTGAACTTTACATTTTTCTCAAAAGGGCTTTTGTGTCTTTTTGATTAGTTGCTGCTGCTGCCTTCCGAGTTCTCCTCTTGCTGCTGCTGCCGCCGCTGCTGCTGCCCCTGTGGGGCCCCACAGCTTCTCAGGACCCCCGAAAAGACTCGGCCGCTGCAACTTCCTTTTTGCTTCTTTTCCTTTTTTTTCTTTTGCTGCTGCTTCCCTCTCTGCCCCACAAAAGCCCCAAGCCCTTTTGCTGAAGCTCTTTGCTGCAGCCTTTTGCTGCAGCCTTTTGCTGCAGTCTTTTGCTGCAGCCTTTTGCTGCAGTCATTTGCTGCAGCCTGGGGTGTACGCGTGTGGGGTGTACGTACGTGTGGGGCGCTCGCCCGGGTGTCTGTCCAGCTTGCGCCCAGCAGTCTGTGGGGTGTGGGGTGTGGGGTCTTGTGAGTTTTTTGTGGAATCTTTTGGAATCCTTTGAAATCTTTTGAGATCTTCTGAGATCTTTTGAGGTCTTTTGAGATCTTTTGGAATCTTTTGGGATCTTCAGCGATCTTGTTGGGTCTTGGGGGGCCTTGTGGGGTTTTGTGGGGTCTTATAAGTCTTGTGGGATCGTATGGGGTTGTGTGGGATCGTGTGGGATCGTGTGGTATCTTCAGACGTTTGTGGGGTCTTCTAACTCTTGCAGAATCGTGTGGGATCATGTGGGACCGTGTGGGGTCGTGTGGGATCGTGTGGGATCGTGTGGGATCGTGTGGGATCGAGTGGGGTCTTGTGGGCGTGGGGGAGCCTGGGGGTTGTGGGGCGTGTGGGGCGCGAGGTGTCTGTACAGCTGTGGGGTGTCTGTACAGCTGTGGGGTGTCTGCGCAGGTTGGAAGCTGCTGCATGCAGATGTCTTTCGGCCTCCGCCGCAGCGCAACATTTTGTGTGTCTTCTTGGGCAGCGGTTTGCAGCTGCTGCTGGTGTCTTTTCTTTCTTTTGCTGCTGCTTCTTTTGCTGCTCTTTTCCCTCGAGCCTCTTTTCTTTCCTTCATGCTCGTCGGCTACCTCCTCACCTCCTGTACGTACACCCCAAACCCTAGACAACCCTCTTCTAGGGGTTAGGGTTTAGGGTTTAGGGTTTACGATATAGGGTTTAGGGTTTAGGGTTTAGGTTCCTTCATGCTTGTCGGCTACCTCCTCACCTCCTGTACATACACCCCAAACCCTAGACAGCCCCCTTCTAAGGTTTAGAGTTTAGGGTTTAGGGTTTAGGTTCCTTCATGCTCGTCGGCTGCCTTCTCACCTCCTGTACGTACAGCCCAAACCCTAGCCACCGCCCCTCCCCTAGCGTTTAGGCTTTAGGGTTTAGGGTTTGGGGTTTTGGGTCTAGGCTGTAGGGTATAGGGTATAGGGTTTAGGGTTTAGGGTTTTAGGGGCTTAGAGTTTAGGGTTTTAGGGGTTTAGGATTTAGGATTTATGATTTAGGGTTTAGGGTTTAGGGTTTTGCGTGCAGTTGTTTGCGGGTTCGTAAGTGTTAACTTGTACACGAAGCTGGGAGGAAACCGTTGGGCCTGGAACATCGTCTCCGCCTGCGCCATCTTCATGGTGAGGGTTGAGGGTTTAGGGTTTAGGGTTTGGGGTTTGGGCCTAGAGTTTGACATTTTGTGCATAAGCATGGAGGCTGCCAGAGCCAAAATCTGCTGCTGCAGCAGCAGCTGCTGCTGCTGTTGTTGCGTTTGCTGCTTTGGCTACCGCATTTGGTGCTGACGCTGCGCCGCCATCGCCGTAGATCTAGGGTTTAGGGTTTAGGGTTTAGGGTTTAGGGTTTGTGCTGCAGTTCCCCGCCTTCTTCGTGTGTTTGACTTTAAATGTGGTTTCGGCTTTAACGGGATCCACAGCAGCACTTCCTCTCAGCAGCGCCTTTGCCCTTCTCGCCTGCTTCTTCTTCGGTACGTGCTGCTGCTGCTGCTGCTGCTGCTGTTTGTCTTGCTGCTCCTGCTGCAGTTGCTGCTGCTGTCTGCCTTGCTACTGCGGCCGCTGCTGCTGCTGCTGCTGCTGTTTGTCTTGCTGCTGCTGCTGCTGCTGCTGCTGCTCTTATCGCGCACTCTGGTGTGCTGCCGCCCGCAAAGGCAGCAACAACCCTAGCAGCAGCAGCAGCAGCAGAAGCAGCAGGATTTGCTGCTGCTTTCCTTGCTGCAGTAACAGTCCCGCTGACCATTTTTGGAGGCATTTGGGGCCGCCGCAGAGCCCTGAAGCAGCTGTCCACGGGCAGAGCTTTTCCCTGCAGAGTGAGTGCTGCTGCTGCTGCTGGTGCTGTTGCTGCTGCTGCTGCTGCATTTCGAATTCATTTCTTTTCCTTTTTTACACTTTTAACGCAATATATTTATTATTTTTAAAATTCGTTTTTACTCCTTATTGTGTCGAGGCTGTTGAGGGCTCTTCCCAGGCCTCATGCTTGTACACAAACCCTAAACCCTAAACCCTTACCGTGAAGCATGAATGTTGCCAGAGCCACAACCTTCTGCTGCTGCTGCTGCTGCTGATGCTGTCATGTCTGCTGCTTTGTAGCCTGGCGGCGCCAACCCCCTGTTGTCTTTGCTGCTGCTGAATCTCTTGTTTTTTCTTTTCTAATAAAATGCAATTTTCTCCTTTGGTTCTTTTATTTTTATTTTCTCTTTTATTTTCCTTTTTATTCTTTTTAATTCTTTTTTTCTTTTGTCTGTCTCCCCTTATCTCCTCTATCTGCTCTTTAGTGTTTCCCTGCTGCTCTTTTACTCTCTTCCGCTTGACTGCAGCTCTAAGCCCTAAACCCTAAACCCTAAACCCTAGCTGTCTATTCTTTAAACCGCCAGCACATAGAGTTTTGTCTGTGGGCGGCGGAAGCCGCTGGCTGGGGCCGTGCTCCCGAAACCCTTGAAAACCCTAAACCTCAAACCCTAAACCCTTAACCCTTAAACCCTTAACCCTTAACCGTTAACCCTTAAGCGTAAACCCTAAACCCTCGAGGGTTTTTGTGTGCTGCAGACACACAAGTTGGCGCGGGAAATCCCGAGGACTCGTTGGTACCGGCGGCCGTTTTTTTTGTGTCTGTTATCTGCTGCTTTTCCTTTTAGTGGCATTTACTTAGAATTGCATTATTTATTTCTTTCTGTCTGGAGCAGCAGCAGCTTGGGCACTTATTCTTTTCTAGTTCTTGCTGCGCTGCTGCTGCTGCTCGCTGTTGCTGCTGTTGCGGTGCTTCTGGTGTACGTACACCTCAACGCCGAGAACCACAGGTGGCACTGGCCCGCCTTTTGGAGTGGGGGGTGCGTAAAGTCCTTTACATTAAATTAAATTAATTTAACTAATTTAATTCATTAAACTGATTAAAGTAATTCATTTAATTCAATTTAATTGCATTTGATATGGTTTAAATCCAATTAATTCGTTAAATTGAGTTAGTCGAATTGCAATAGTTGCAATTAATGCAGTTGTCGCAAAAATGCATTTCATTGAATATATTTATTCTATTTAATTCAGTTTAAATCATCCAATTAAATCTAAATAATTTAATGCAATTTAAATCATTTAAATAAGCTAATTCAAGTTACGTCCTTAAATTCAATTTAAATCATTAATGCCATTAAAGAAACAAATCTAAATAATAAAACTGGTGCAGTAAATTGAATTAATGCAATTAATGCAATAGTTTGAGTTAATTGAATCGATGGAATCAATGCAATTAATAATATTGATGCAATAAGACAAAAGAATTAAACGATCGAATTTGACATATTAGTAATTAATTTATTTTTTCTAAAAATGCGTTTTCAAAGTTCACTGAATGCACTGCATGCACGCAGTACGTACACCGCATGCAGAAAAATAAATTAAATGCTTCTTGAGTTGCACAGCTTCAGTATTATCTGCTGCTGCTGCTGCTCCTGCGGCTGCTTGTACTGTTGCTGTTGCTGCTGCTGTTGCTGCTGCTGCTGCTGCCACTCCTGCTGATGCTGTTGCTGGTGCTGCTGCTGTGGGGTGTGCGTGCTGCAGCAGCGTGGCATTTTACTTTTTGCTGCACTGCTTCTTTTACTTCTGGGGCTCTTCAATGAGCAGCACTTTGCAGCTGCTGCACTTTGTGCTGTATTCGCTGCTGCTGGCCTGGGGCCTGTGTCTTTCTCTCGGCTGCGTCTCTTATTTTGCTGCTGCTTTTTTTGTTAAGACTGTCTACTCGCGCATCAAGGTCGACTAGGCTGCTGCAGCTGCTGCTGCAGCTGCTGCAGCTGATGCGCTGTTGCAGCTGCTGCAGCTGATGCGCTGTTGCAGCTGCTGCAGCTGCTGCAGCTGATGCGCTGTTGAGGCTGCTGCAGCTGCTGCAGCTGCTGCGCTGCTGCAGCTGCTAGGCTCTGGAAGCTGCTGCGCTGTAGCAGCTGCTGCGCTGTGGCAGCATCGCTGCAGCGACGGGCGCTGCTGCGCCTCAAACAGCTAATACGAGATGGTGCTGCAGCAGCAGCAGCAGCAGCAGCGGCTGCTGCTACTGCTGCAGCTCAAGCATATGATGAGCGAATTCTCGCGTTCTAATGCGTGCGCATCTTCTGCACGCTCAGACAATAAGAAAAGTAACTTTTGCTGCTGTACCAGGGAGCACCAGCAGCAGCTGCTGCTGCAGCTGCTGCTGCAGCTGCTGCAACAGCTGCAGCAACAGCTGCGGCTGCTACTTCAGCAGCTGCTGCTGCAGCTGCTGCTGCAGCTACCAATGAGAAGAAGGGCTGCTTCTGCAGCTTTTAGAACCGCAATGACTTTTTTGCTGCTGCAGCGTGTGCAACAGGAATTCCTTCTATTGCTGCTAATTGCAGATGCACAGGACTCCTTTTGCTGCAGCAGCAGCACTTCAAACCTAAGTGGTTTCTTCCGCTGCTGCTGCAGCAATTAAAGGGTTTCTTTCGCTATTGCTGCAGCAATTAAAAGGTTTCTTTCGCTCCTTTTGCAGCAATTAAAACTTAAGTGGTTTCTCTTGCTGCTGCTGCAGCATTTCAAGCGTAAATGGCTCCTTCTGCTGCTGCTGCAGCACATCAAACCTGAATAATTTCTTTCGTTGCTGCTGCAGCAGTTAAAGCCTAAGTGGGTTCTCCTACTGCTGTAGCAGCATAGTAGCATTTCAAACCTGAATGGTTCCTTTTGCTGCTGCTGCAGCACTTCAAACCTAAATAGTTCCTTCTGCTGCTGCTGCTGCAACACCCAGAACCTAAAAAGCTCCTTTTGCTGCAGCAGCAGCAGTTAAAAGCCAAAACGGTTCCTCTTGCTGGTGCAGCACTTAAAACCTAAAAATAGTTCCTTCCGCCGCCACATCAGCATTTAGAATCGAAGTTATTCCTTTTGCTGCTGCTGTAGCAATTAAAACCTAAGTGGTTTCTCCCGTTGCTGCAGCAACACTTAAAACCTAAATAGTTCCTTTTGTTGCTGCTGCTGCAATTAAAACCTGCATGCTTCCACTTGCTGCTGCTGCAGCAAACCTAAATTGTTTCTTTTGCTGCTGTTGCAGCACTTAGAGCCTAAATAGGCTGCCGTTGCATTTATTAAAACTAAGTAGTTTCTTTTGCTGCTGCAGCAGCACTTAAAACTTGCTGCTGCAACAGCACTACTGCAGCAGCACTCAAAATTTGAACAGCTTTTCTTGCTGCTGCAGCAGCAGTTAAAACTTGAACAGTATCTTGTGCTGCTGCAGCAGCAACTAGAACTTGAAAAGTTTCTTTCGTTGCTGCAGCAAAAGACACCATCCAAATTCTTGTGCTGCTGCAGCAGCAATTAGAACTTGTATAGTTTCTTCTGCTGCTGCAGCTGCAGCTGTCTTTTGCTGCTGAAGCAGCAACTAAAACTTGAAAACTTTCTTTCGCTACTGCAGCTGCAGCTTTCTTTTCCTGCCGCAGCAGCAATTAAAACTTGAAAAGTTTTGTTCGCTGCTGCAGCTGCAGCAATTAGAACTTGAAAGTATCTTTTGCTGCTGCAGCAGCAGCTAGAACTTGAAAAATATCTTTTGCTGCTGCAGCAGCAATTAAAACTTGAAAACTTTCTTTCGCTGCTGCAGCACAGGCAGCGCTTCTCTTCTCCAAGTAATTCTCCCCGGAAGATCAGAATAGCGCTTTTCATATTGCCAGCTGGGGGCCAGCAGGCTTTGCGTCTCTGCAGACAAACCCTAAACCCTAAACCCTAAACCCTAAACCCTAAACCCTAAACCCTAAACCCTAAACCCTTAAACCTAAACCCTAAACCCTAGACCCAAAACCCCAAGCCTGAACCCTGATCTGATACTGCCAGCTGGGGGCCAGCAGGCTTTGCGTCTCTGCAAACAAACCCTAAACCCTAAACCCTAAACCCTAAACCCTAAACCCTAAACCGTAGAAGACTGGCGAGCAAGACGGTTCAAAGAGGCAAGAAGCAAAGAGAGTCCCGAGCAGCAAAAGAGGTTCGAGAAAACAGCAAGATGGCAGCAGCAAGCAGCAACAAAAGAGAATATTATGTATTGAAGCGAAATTAAAAAATAAAAGAAAAAAGAATTAAAAAAACAAAAAGACAAACCTTCTCGCAGAGGCTTGAGCTGAATGAGGATTTCCTCGTGCTGCGCTTTCGCTGCTTCCAGCTGCTGCTGCCAGGCGAGGCAGGCGAGGCTGCTGCTGCTGCGGCCGTGCTGCTGCTGCTGCTGCTGCAGCCGCACGCGCTGCTGCAGCTGCAGCAGCAACTCTTCAAGTGCATGCCGCTGCAGCTCCAAAGCTTCTCTCTTTTGCTGCTGCTGCAGCAGCCGCTTTGCAAACAGACATTGTTCATGAATCGCCCGGCGAGACAAAACTGTCAAAATCCGTTTCATGCTCAACTTCACCTGAAACAAACCCTAAACCCTAAACCCTAAACCCTAAACCCCCAACCCTCGGCTCCTTGCCCAGCTGTTAGCAGCGTAGAAGAGAATGTCTCGCTCCAACTACACCCCACGGCACAGAATCTAGGGTTTAGGGTCTAGGGTTTAGAGCTTAGGTTTAGAGCTTAGGGTTTAGGGTTTAGGGTTTAGGGTTTAGGACCTTCTTGAGTCTCTCCGGATGTTTCATTTGCGTTTTTGTTTGCCACGCAGCCCAGCGCTCGCCCAGCAGCAGATTCTTTTCCTTTAACAAAACAAACCTAAACAAAAAATAAAAATAAATTAAAAACAAATTAAAAATAAATTAAAATAAATAAAAACTGAAATTTAAAAGGAATAAAAAGAGATAAAAGAGATAAGAGGAGGTTAGAAGACGCAGCAGCAAATGGGAGAAGCTTTGGGTAGCAGCGCAGCAACAAGCGCAGCAACAGCAGCAGCAAAAGCAGCAGCAACAGCAGCAGCAACAGCAGCAGCAGCAGCAACAGCGGCACAGAAGCACGAGAGACATGCAGTAGGGGGTTTTGGCAGCACGGGGAGTGCAGCAGCTGAGCTACAGCAGCAGCAAATAAGAAAAGGCAGCAGCAGCAGCAAAAGAATGCAGCAACAGCAGCAGCAAACGAATGCAACAGCAAACGAATGCAGAAGCAAAAGAGCAAAGCAGCCGTAAACGAATGCAGCAGCGGCGGCAAACGAATACAGCAGCACCAGCGGCAGCAATCGAATACAGCAGCAGCAGCGGCGGCAGCAGCAGCAGCAGCAACAGCAGCAGCAAGTGGCTCCTAACCACAGCTTGTGCAGGTCTTCGAAGGATTTGTTGCGCAGCAAACGCGCAGGCCAGGCGTCTCCAGTTACAGCCAACGCATGCTTAGCAGCAGCAGGCAGCGAGGGGTCCAGGTAGCCGCCTGCAGCAGCAGCAGCAGCAGCAGCAGCAGCAGCAGCAGCAGCGGAAGCAGCAGCACACAGGATACTGCTTGGGTGACGCAGGCAGCGGCTGCTCCTGCGCAGCGCGCGCTGCTGCTGCTGCTGCTGTTGATGGGGCTGCTGCTGCTGCGGTGCTCTCGCTGCTCCTATGCTGGCCTATGAGCAAAGCATTGGGACTTTCTGGGGCGCTGTGTGAAGCCAGTGTTCGCGGCTGCTGCAGTTGCTGCTGCATGCAGCAGAATGCAGGCTCAGCAGCAGCAGCAGCAAAGCAAGGCTTGAGGAGGAAAAAGCAGCTTTCACACAAATGAAAAACTAAAATTGCAACGTTTTTTCTAAATTTACGCGCATGCAGCAGCCAGTGTAGCCGCAGCTGGGAAGCTGCTGCTCGCATTGCTGCTCTGGCTGCTCGGACGGCTGCGGGTGCTGCGGCGGCGGCGCAGTTGTTGGAGCAGCAGCAGCAGCAAAGGATATATAAGGCATGTATTTGTGTTAAAACATTATTGGCTGCTGCGTAACAATTTAATAGACAGCGGCGGCCCCTCAGTCGCTAAAGAAGCCCTCATATCGGCACGGCTTGCTGCGATCTGAGCAGCAACAGCAGCAGCAGCAGCAGCAGCAGCAGCAGCAGCAGGTTTCGCCTGGCATGTACAGTTCTGGCGCCACCGCGGCTCACGCGAAGAGGCCAATTGATGTTCCAGGATTAGGGGCGAGACATTGTAGGGCAGCAGCAAGGGCAGCAGCAGCAGCAGGGACGAGCCCGGTGGCACAGCAGCTGCAGCAGCAGCAGCAGCTGCTGCAGCAATAACTGCTGCTTCCCACTGCCACGCGGGAACCGCAGCAGGAGCAGAAGCCACGCGAAGCCATGCAACACATCTTCCCGCGGACTGCTTCCTTGCCCCCAGCGGTCGCAGCAGCAGCTGAATCAAATTCGCCTGCAGCAGCAGCAGCAACCCAGGCAGCGCCCCGCGGCAGCAGCAGCAGCAGCAGCAGCAGCGCTAGGCTATGGCGGCCCTTAGGACCTCCGACCCTGCATTCAAATGTACGCAGCATCCCTGGCGGAGCTGCAGCAGCAGTATTGAGCAGCAGCAGCAGCAGCAGCAGGAGGTGCCACGTCACTCAGGGACCTTCCCTCGGCTTGTACAGCAGCAGCTGCAGCAGCAGCAACTGCAGCAGCAACAGCAGCAGCAGCGCTGCAGAGTTTCCCCAAGCATCGCCGCCCGCTGTGCGGCCTTTGAGCGCCTATCTCGCGCAGCAGCAGCGCCTGACACCCCTGTATCTGCTGCTGCGTCTGCTGCAGCAGCAGCAGCAGCAGCTCCTACAGCTTCAGCAGCTGGAGCAGCTGCGGATTCTGCTGCAGTTTGCTCCCCAGCTCTGCCCAGTCTGAGGCCCCATGCTGCTGCTGCTGCTGCTGCTGCATATGGGCGCCTGCCCAGCTCGCTGGGGGCTTACTGCGTCGGCAGTCACAGCGGCAGCAGCAGCAGCAGCAGCATCAGCAGCAACGCTACTCAGGGAAGCCCTCGCAGTAGGGCCAGCTGCAGCAAAGAAGAGGCACTTCTGGGGCAGCAAAGAGCCACTGCTCGTGCTGCTGCTGCTTCGTTTCCAGGCCCTTCGAGGATCCCCGTGCTGCAGCGCTGCTGCAGCGCAGCAGAGCAGCAGCCTCGGCAGCAGCAGCAGCTGCTGCTGCTGGGGCAACAGCAACCACCGGACCAGCTGCAGCAGCAGCGCCAGCAGCACGA